GCAGTAGTAGTACTAGTTGTAGTTGTACTTGTAGTTGTAGTTGTAGCAGCAGCAGCAGGAGTGGAAGTAGTAGTAGTAGTAGTAGTAGTAGTAGTAGTAGTAGCAGCAGCAGCAGTAGTAGTCGTAGTCGTAGTCGTAGTCGTAGTAGTAGTAGTAGTAGTAGTAGTAGTAGTAGTAGTTGTAGTGGTAGTAGTAGTAGTCGTCGTCGTCGTCGTTGTCGTCGTAGTAGTAGTAGTAGTCGTCGTCGTCGTCGTAGTAGTAGTTTTGTAGGAGTAGTAGTAGTAGTAGTAGTAGTAGTAGTAGTAGTACTTGTACTAGTAGTACTAGTAGTACTAGTAGTACTAGTAGTACTAGTAGTACTAGTAGTACTAGTAGACTAGTACTAGTACTAGTAGACTAGTACTAGTACTAGTACTAGTACTAGTACTAGTAGTAGTAGTAGTAGTAGTAGTAGTAGTAGTAGGTAGTAGGTAGTAGGTAGTAGGAGTACGAGTCAGAGTGGGAGTGGGAGTGGGAGTGGGAGTAGGAGTCGTCGGAGCAAGAGTAGCAGTACTAGTAGTAGTCGTCGCCGTTGCAGTATAGTTAGTAGCAGCAGTAATTGTTGTTGTAGTCGTCGTAGGCGGAGTCGGAGTAGGACTAGGAGTAGTAGAAGTGGAGGCCGCAGCAGCAGGAGCAAGAGCATAAGCAGGAGCAGCAGCAGCAGCAGCAGCAGGAGCAGCAGCAGCTGTACTGGCCGTATTTAATTGACCTCAGCACATCACGCCATCATCATCATCATCATAAACAACATTACCTAGGTAATCACCATCATTTCCATAAAACTTGTGCGCCTCCAGCAGGCCCGGCGCCACGCGACCGCCGCGAGGCAGAGCCCTGACAGGTAAAACAACAGATATGCAACGGGCTGTCAAACTGGTGCTCCGACAACAGCGACACAACTCAACCCGGAGGAGCATCAGCGGAAGAAACGAGATCTAACCTTCAGAGCGCTCAGCCCTTGCGTCGTTAAGGTTTGGGTGGAGGTTGCAGTAATCGGATGAAGCTCAACGTTACAAAGAACCTTCTCCCTGACAAAGCAAGGCAGGCCTTAACTTTGCCTGCTCACTGGGGTTGCGACACGTTTCACCTCAAGTTTGGAAGTTACTTGCAGGTTGACGTACCACGCAATCTGCTCGCTGTCCCGAGGGCCAGAAGGAGCCATAAGAGCCTGGAAACCTTCGCAAGCCCGGAGGATTGAGAAGCCAGAGACACTTCTAGGGGCATTTGAAAGACAATCTGGCATCATGGGATGTAGAGCAGCTAGAGGTCGGTGCCTGGCTCAAAACTGTCGCTGCATCGTGCTAGCCCAAAAAATACCGAAGAACTTTGACAAGTGCTGGTAGCCAGTCAATGGCTTCAGGATGCAGCGATTTTCTGTGGAAGTACAAATTCAGAAACTGCACACCGGAACGCAACACCAGTGGACTCCGGATGAAACCGAAATTGTCTGTGAATACAGCAGATGCAACATGTTATTCAAATGCAACATCTGAACATGGCAAGGGTAAAACTGACCCCGTCGCCCGTAGCCTGCTCAGGTCCTGAAGCATCTGTTCTTCCTGCTATTTCGCCACTTCCGGCGCATAGGGCTTCAGAGTCCAAGGGTTTAGTTTGCGAGTTGATGCAGCGCCCTGCAGTAGTGTGCCGATCGTCGGCTTTTTCTGGTGCAGTGTAGAGTAGACTACCTGTAGGGATCATTAGGGATCGAGGTCGGGACAGGTTCCACGGTCTTCAGCGCTTCCGCCAAACCCTCAAGAGGCCCCACCTCCCCTGTGATGCCGAAACCCAAGCCACAGACCTCACCCCAAAAAATCCTATAGCCTCGACCCGGACCCCCAGCAAGACACCCCAGATCTTGAATCCCTGAGCCCTGAGACGCCCGGAGCAGAAACCTGCAGAGTCCTCTAAAACTGCTCCCCCCTAAAAACTCCAGGCTCCTCTTCGACGGCATGCCCGCTCCACCAGGAAAGCTCTTGGCCTGCCAGAGTTGGGGGAGGGCTGAAGCCTTTGAAGAGCCGAGGCGGAGGAGGCGGAGGAGGCGGAGTGGTTGGGATGCGCTGGCCTGCGCCTCGCAGGGCCGAAATCGAATCCACGCAGTGTCGGAAGACAGCAACCTCGGGCCAAGGCCGGTCAAGGTCGGCAAAAGGGCATTAGGGCTTGGGGGTTTTCGGGGTTTCAACTTTGGGTTTGAGGTCTCTGGGCTTTCAATACGTCAGACGAACAGTTGGACCCCGAGGCCTGAGCTCTAGACTCGAACAGCACTAGCTCGCTTCCACACTCTCTCTTGCTCTCTCTCTCTCTCTCTCTCTCGGTGTTTTTGTTCCAACTTGATTTTTCTTCTCTCTGTATTTTGCTCGCTCGCTCACTCGCTCACTCGCTATTCTCTGTCTGTCTGTGTCTCTTTTTTGTGGCTGGGGATAGGGCTCTCTGTCTGTTTTTCTTTCTGCCGGGCTTAGGGGTCGTGCAGCGACCCGCAGGCCGTTTGCCCGCCCGTCCCCCACACTCAGTTAGTGAGTGGACGGTTTTTGTCTACACAGCTCGGCAACGACTACGTCGTGGGCTATCGGCTCCTTGAGTTAAACCCTTCCCTTATAACACGAAGATACACAAAGTATACAAAAACAACCCCGGCCTCTTCCTGCGCCCTTCAGGCGACAGCTTAGGGTGTGCAACTTCTTGGCTGAAGTAGAGCCCCCAAGCAGTTGTTCAAGGAAGGGCAAAATCCGCATAGCCGCATAGCTGTCTCTCTATCTCCCTCTCTTCCGCTCTCTCGCTCACATAGTCGTCCTCGTCTTTCAGGGCTCGGGCCTGGGGCAACATGTACATGCAGTTTCAAGAACTCTTTGTCCACAATGGGACTTTCTCCAGAAAGAATGCCGAACAAGTCGCAACAAAGGGAAATAAAGCCGGGAGCACTCTTCAAGTAGGACTCCGATAAAGAAGCTGGAACAAGTCTCATCAACCGCAACGCTGTCGCTCGAAAGCCTGGGCTTCCCTGCACGCTCGGGCGCCGAGGAGCTTGCAGCGGCTGCTGCTTCGAGGGCCTTTCCAACTCAGAGGCTGCTTGCGTGGTGCCAGCGGTGAGGCTTTAGGATTGAGTGCTGATATGGCTACTGAAATTTGGTGTTTACTCTCTCTCAGGGAGGTTCTAAGACTTGCGCAGCAGGTTTTCGACTTCGGAATTCGTGTGCTAGCGAATCACGGTACGACTTGAAACGACAGACATGACAACTACGTGGCACGATGGTGATGAACGTGAGGGTAGGGGGAGGGGGAGCGTGAGGGTGATGGTCCGGCATTCTGATTCTGATGATGACGATGATGATGATGAAGATGAAGATGAAGATGAAGATGAAGAAAATGATGGTAATGATGACGATTATGCGATGATGATCCTGATGGTGATGACGACGATGATGATGTCATGATGTGATGATGATCATGATGTGATGATGATGATGATGATGATGATGATGATGATGACGACGATCATGATGATGATGATGATGATGACATGGATGACGACGACGTTGTTGACGATGCTGATGGGGAGGATCAGGAGCAAGCGCAGGAGGAGCAGGTAGATGAGGAGGACAATGACGATGTTGAAGACAGTGATGATGACGATGACGACGATGACTATGATGATGATGATGATGATGACGATGATGATGATGAAGATGGCGACATCGGTGACCATGATGATGATGGTGATGTTGATGGTGATGATAACAATAGTGATGATGATGGTGATGTTTATGATGATGACGATGACGACGATGATAACAATAATGATGATGATTGATCGTGATACATGAGCGCACCAACTTGTTGCTGTACTTGACGGGCTTGGGACGCAAAGGAGTTAAGTTTTCTTCTGGAGGTCGCAAAACGGCAGCTTGGTCTGGTGCGCCCCACTGGTGATTTATTCGGGCACCAAGGGTGGGATTTCGTGTGCAGATACTGGCGAGGCTTCTGGGGTTTCCGGAATGCGCTGCCTGTAGAGTCTGGCTCAATTTATGGGTTGGGGGCAGGTATCGGGCCCATGGCAACAAGCGATGTTTCAAGGGTTCTTTGCAATAGTGCCCATCGCGGTCGCACTCCCAAGTCCACAAAGCTGAATGACCCAGTCTTCCTCATCTGCAAACCCTCCGACCCTAAACCCGAAATACAAAGACCCAAACCTCGAAGCCTCGTGCAAGGGACAATTGCCCGCCAACCCTACAACGCCGAAAACCTGCAACCTGAAAGTCTTATGTTATTACCCGAACCCGTGGACATAGAAAAGGCACACGCGCACGAATGAATATGTAAATATGTCTGTATCTATATATGTACATGTACATGCAAGTATGTAGGTATGTACGTATGTAGGGCTCAGAATACCTCAACAGCGAGGATGGCTGGTAGCCCCAGTACCGTGCGAAAAACGCAAATGGACATGGAAGGCGGTGCGACCGACAGTCCAAGCCAATGAGGCACCATAGACGTTGCATGGCATGCGGCGGCAGAGTGTGGCCCAAATACAACTCCACTGACAATGATGTTGTGATGTGGCCTTATGTCCAGGCTTCCTACCTTTGCTGTTCCAGCATTCGTGGTTCTGATTTTACGGAGAAACTGTCACATATCAGTTTCCATGGAAGTGTGGGCGCTGAACGGCCTGACGTTGTTGATGTAGCAGACGCCATGTCCTTTGACTGATGTTTGGCAAGCATTTCGCCTTGGTCACAAAGGATGTTGAACGCTGCGCGGCAGATGCGGTAGATGTCCCGCATGATAGCCTTGAAGAAAGGAAGACATGCTGGCAGGATTATTGCGACCGGTTTGCAGACGGTTGCAATGAACAGTTGACGAAAGATGCAGCTTCCACTTGCACATTGGGTGTTTTGCTTGAAGAGGAAGGCAAAAACAACGCCTGTCGTGTTGGAAGAGGAAGGCAGCTGTTTACGGAGCTTCGTGACGAGATCAACACTTCGTTGGTATGGCGGAGCAGTTGGGAACTGCTGGGGCATGCTTGTGCATCCATGCACAATTTGAGGCCGATGATCGCGGAGCCCCGCAGTGGTAGTGAACCCAAGTGGACAGCATATGGTGACATGTTAGCCATATGCTGCAGAGGCTTCAGAGCTGTAAAGGGCCAGTGGCGGAATCTTTCGTGCATGGCTTTTGGGAAGAGCACAAACCCGCAAGTTGTCAAGCCGCACGGAAGGAATGTCAAGAGTTGGACCACGGATGACCACCAAACGTTCGATCAGCAGTCCGGCAAGCACCTCGCTTTCGACCCTAAGGGCGACATAGGCTGTTAGCTGACCAGGTGCGATCAAGGACAAATCGAACAACCCGCACGGCCTGCAGTGCTGCATCTTCGCAGGCAAGCAAGTGGTGGATGGCGGCACGCAGTCAGAGCCGTTGTGCAATGACCCAGTAATTTTTCGTGGATGGTTCCTGGAATGTGCTGGGAGTTTTGCTTGTTCGGCTTTGGGGCAGGATGTGGCTTGAGCTGTTTACGGCTTTTGACTGTTGCGAAACAGGCCGGGTTCACAGTGGCCTGCCTTCCCTGCTAAAATCCTGACGTCCCAGATTGTTGCTCAGCCTTTGTGAAGCATGGGCGAGTGCCTACCGGGAGTAACGTGAGTAAGGACGGACACTTTGCCAGATTTAGTTAGGCAGCGAACACCACTGAACGCACGGAAAAAAATATGTATTTTTGTAGGTATGTACGTATGTACATATGTGCGTACATACGTATGTCCGCATGTCTGTTTGTCTACACACAACAACATCTATGCATATACACATGTGGTGAAACCTACATATATATATATAAATATAGATGAACGTTGATCAATATCCTTGTTTCTGGAAATGGTTTCTTCGCGGATTATTGTTTTCCTTTCGCGGGACTGTCGCCCTCACTTTCGCGGGACATGCTTGAAGTAGTAGCAGTAGTAGTAGTAGTAGTAGTAGTAGCAGTAGTAGTAGTAGCAGTAGCAGTAGCAGTAGCTAGGCTGCAAAGGCCGACTCCAAGTCGTGGGCCATGGCGTGTGATACCTTCTGACGTTGATGCTGCGTCGCTGCTGCGTGCAAGTGTACGTCGGAAAGACCAATCCTTGAAGCGCAGAGGCCCTGAATGAAAGGCACGACCATGCTCAACTCCCCCACCTCCCACAGTCTGTGGACTGGCAGCCGAGCGATCTGGCTTTGGGTATATTGCATCGCGGCATCGTGGGACAGCGAGTTTGCCCTGTATGCCTACGGACTTGTACAGCATATACCTTACAAGTCCTATGCTGCCCAAATCCATCACACAACAACTTTCGCGGATTATTGTTTTCC